CGAAATTACGAAATCGCGAATCGAAAAACCATTAACAAAATCAAATAACTAGTAAAATTTGTTACACAAATCGACGAAATTACGAAATCGCGAATTGCGAAATCGCATAAAAAACTAGATCTAGATGTAGATTGAGAAATCGAGAAATAGAGATGAAAATTATCTGTAATAAGCTTCGATTTTCTCTCGAATGACCTCTAAAAAGCTTCGATTTCCTCTCTAATTACGTCTAAAAATTTTGATTTCCTTTCTAAAGAGATGAAAAGTGTCGGTGGCGATTAGATTTTGGGAGTGAGAATATTGAGAGCGTTCTTTTGTTTCAGGGGTAAATTTGTCATTCTCGGATAAAATCGTGATATTTTTGTAAAGGGCCCAGCGCGTGTGGCAGTTTTGCAAACTGTTGACCCATTTGTGACATTTTTGTGGTTCTTCCTTCTTTTTTAATCTTAATTGAAAGCGTCAATGGTAATTTGTAATATATATCATAAGAATTAAGAAAGTTAATGAAAACAAATTAAACAATATCTCCAAATTGTTAGATATACTAGAATCAGGAATAAAAATTTATCAAATATTATACATACTCAATGTTCAAGAAAGCGCTAGGCGCTAAGCGGGCGGTGATCCAATGTTTAGTGCCTAGAACGACTAATCGAAACTTAGACGATTTAATAGGCGGTCTAAACGTTTTACAAAAATACATAATATATTAGATATATATAATAAAATATATTAAAAATCAAAATTTATAACTAACAAAATTTATATTATATTTATATTCATCATTTTATAGCCAAATATATAAAATTTTATGATTTATATATACGAAATTTTATATTATTTTATTATTATAGTACCATAATATTTTAGGCGGCAAAAAGTGGTAATCACCATGGTCTATAGGGGCCTAGCGCCTAAGCGCCGCCTAGAACGCTTTTTAGAACACTGTATATACTAATGTAACCATTCGATTGGATTAAAATTTAGTAATAATATATATAATTTTAACGAATATAGAAAC